TCTTCACCCACCAGAGCACTAGTGGAAGCAGCAACAAAACGAGCATACTAACCACGGTCTCTGTCATCTTCAGGGCTAACCACTTCTAGCCACAAGGGATAAAACTCCTTCACGAAATAGTTTAGGAGAGTAAAGATGAAGCAAGTGCCGGAAAGTAAAAGGCATAGAATGCAGATCTGATAAATAACGAAGGCATGCAACAACCCTTCAAATAATGGGGCCAATTTGTCCAAGACACACATTGAAGTAACGGCAGAATTCTATGATTACTGGATCGATAAGTGGTTTAAACCCTAAAGTAAGGGGGTAAGTGTAAACGAAAGAATAACCAGCTTGGTATGAAGTTATTCTCCGGTTGGAACCGGGAACTAAGACTGGAAAATATGGTTTTCAATTACATTCTCTTCGAACCAGGGAAATAAGACCAGTGGTAATCAAGGTAGGATAAAGGTCGGCAGGATTAAGTGAAGCTATGGATGAAACTTGATTTCTCATGGATTCACGATCGGATGAAAAAGAAAATTCTTGGGGAACAATCTCTGCAACTCTTGGTTCATGCACTGGTTCACTCGAGTCTCTATTCCTAGAGGAAGATCTAGGGATTAAAGGAGACCTAGGTTTAGAAGAGGAAGATTTAACAGCATTGCCATGAGAAGAGGAACCATGGTTAGACAATGAGCCTAAACTACGAAGTCTACCACCTCTCCTACTTCTAGTAGGGACAGTAGAAAGAGCGAGCTCGTCGACGATAACAACCTTGCGAGGGTCTGGTGTAGAAGAAGACATGATTATATGGAGAACTAATAAAGAGTAGATACAGAAGTAAGAAGGAAGAGTAATATAGAGAATACTGTAGAAGAGGGACTTCGAGAAATCAAAGAAGAATGAAGTATTTATAAGAAGACACAATCATCATTAAAAGAAGGTCATTATGAACCGTCATAATTAAACCGTCACTTCGTGACTGACGCAGCCGCGGTAAAACTCTAAAGAGCGCTGAAAACTTGCAGAACCAATCGTCAAGATCCACGTGGCATATGCATTGAATAGACATGACATACGAAGAAAATGCAATGATACTCGAAAAGCGGCGGCAAAGAATTTTCTGCATAAATACTTACCACTTCCCGAATATTCAATTGAAGAATATTCAGAAAGTGGGGGGACTATCTGTATTAGTGAAAAAAAGGTGTCACGCGTAGAACCTTACTGAGCTGACAAAGCATGATACATGGAACATTGGTGAAGTGACGACTGGCGTATTCCATTAATGAAATAAATGGAGCAAGGAAGATGCGGAGTAAACACCCACGAGACAGTAAAGAACAAATAATTGAGCCTAAACAACTGTTGAAGAGGCACGAGCGGAATGAATCAAGACCAAAAAGAAGGAAGATTCATGAACCAACAGTAAATAAGGAAAGAGAATCAGAGTAGTTACAAGGCCTTTACAGTTACGAATGTGTCAGTTATGATTATCAACCATAACGAGCAATTAATACTATTAATGCTCATAATGAGTTCGTCATAAATAGGGGAAAACGTTACAATTGGATATTCCTATATAAGGATATAGAATCTCACTTGTAAGGACAAGTTTCGAGCACTATTAAAATATACTTACATTTTCTTGCTTCAAAAAAGCCTTCTACGTAATTTGAGGGATAGATTATCATTCCATTCCTTATCTCTTTTTTACTAATTCACATTGTTATTTTTATTTCTTTTCAAGCGGATTGTTGAGGAAGTAAAGTATTATTTGGTTATTAGTAGCCCGATTTCTTCTAAATATAAACTTTGACCAAAGATCCTATATTTTGGTTAAACAATGAGTTCTCACTAGTCCAAATCACCCAAAACAAAATTAATGAAAAAGAAGAGAGACACTTACGTGCAATCAAATTCTTCTACTCGGGAAGGTAGGAATTCATATAAAAGTATTCAGAAGAATATTAAAATGTCACACTTAGAATTTAAACATATGAACTAATTAAAGCAATTTTGAACCTGTTGCTGCTGTAATGTAATAAAAGTCCCCTATATATAAAGGGAATTCAATGATTTATTTATAATATAAAATAAGTTATTTTATTATTTACACGTAGTTCTGCTCCTGCCTACTTTCTATGATCCAATCACGCTCTTTACTTCCTACATGTGAGCGTATGAATGAATAAGATAAGGCGAAGCGCGAAGGAAATGGATGTGTGAGCGATTGAAAGAATTCTTGTGTGTTTGTATTGTAGACAAACATGGAGAGTTGAATATTGAAGTCCCATTTGCGTGCCATGTTCACTTCACCACGGACGATGGACATTGCCCAATTTATTTTTATTTTTTTTTGCTTTTTCCTTTAAGATTATATATAAGATTATATTGGTTTTACTTTGATTTTTTTTAGGTCTGAGAAGGAAAGTATTTCAGTGACGTGCTCGTGCTTCCTCGTTGAACGAAATTTTTCCAAAATGTAAATAACTTATTAACTCATGTTTCTGACTCTTCAGTAAAAGTAGTTTAGATTAGGAAAACTTACCCAAATATCTCAAATAAGTCTCAACTTACCAGTCTCTAGCCATTAATCATAAACTTATCAAAACTAGCTAAGCACATATAAAAATTGAAATACCAAATAAATAAGGTTCTTTCTCTCAAAGAATCACATGCAAAAATCTCCTTCTATATTTTTAAACATGATTAGCAGCATTAGATACAAGACGGAAAGGAAATTTCATGGATGAGGTAGCAAATAAGGTGATGAAATACAAAACAAAAATACAATATTCCAAAAATCTAAGCGAAAAAGGAATTTTTTCAATGGATATAGTTGAAATTCATTGAAAACATATAGATAAGTGAATATACAAAATTTGAGGAATATTGGAGGTGATTTGGACTGGTTTTGTATCAAAATTCCTAATTAAATCGAGTTCAAAAACTTCTTCTGCGATACATGTATCACGCATGTATCTCACACACAAGTATACATATGATACACAATTGATACAAATATGATACATATGTGATACACAGTGTGATACACATATCGTTTTTTTCATGTTCAAATTTTACTTCGAACTTTCAATTCAAACCACCGCAAAACTTCACCATATTAGTAATATTTGGCTAATATTAGTAATATTTTGTGAATTGACCAATTTTGGTAATGAGCTACTTATAAATGGACATAATTGGTAGTTTTCCTTTAAATTACAGTTCATTTGAATGGTTGTTACCCATCGTATTGTATTGTATCGTTATCCCGAAACAATGTTTGTTTTGATTGTTTATTTAAAATTGATTGTATCGTATTGTTAAATCCATTATTCCGGAACAACCAAAAATCTCATTTTATGAAATAACCGATTTGATGTGGTGTGATCGTTTCCTATTTTCTTTTCCAATTATGCTCTTACTTATTACTATAATTCAATTTTTTCCTTTATATTTTTTTTTTAACTCCAAATCTCCAACCTATTAACATACTTTGTCTTCATCCATCCTTTTTAGAGTTGGTTGGCCCTGTTCTTTTTATTCAAGTCTCCATTCGATTTTTTGTCTCTTTACATTATTTTATTTTTTTTGGTTGCTAATAGTAGTTAACCTTTTCTTCAGGTTTTTGCTCTTATTTTCAATCTACGTAATTAATGATAAATTAGTAGAAAGAAGTTTTCTTAAATTATTTTTATGTGTAATTCTTGATAAATTTTATCTAAAATAATTGCAGGTATTTTGGTGAACTTATAAGTTACAGTACAGTACGATACAGTCAAACCAAACAACAAAAATATTATTTAACAATAGCAAACGATACAATCTATTCAAACGTTGTATCCATAAAATGATACAATACAATACATTATAAAACGATGGGTAACAATGATCCAAACATAGTGTTAGTTGAAGCCATGTTTATTTTTATGGACGTTACAATAGTTAATCTAAAAATAAGATTTTCTGGATGAAAAGATAAAACTTTGCCTAAACAAATGCGAATCTGAGTATAGTAAAACACTTGTGTGAAGGAATTTGATTTAGGACTCTCTTCTACATCCTCATTATAAAACACTTTTGGGAAGGAATAATGATTTAGGAAACGTATTATTTACACATGAAAATAAAAACTTATTATTTACTGGACCAAAATCGGAATTATTTTCTTTACTAATTATCTGTTCTTCAGTACCATATCTTACAATGTTGTTAGGTCCGACTTAACTAGCACAGTGGATTGCAGTGGGAACGGTCTCTATTAAAGATTATTCAGTAATAACAGCAAGAGGATGTCCTCGTACACAAAATTCTTAATATGATACGTTAAAGAAGTGCTTAAATGCTGCAAAATGTAAAGGTAAGCATCAAATAAATAGAAAACAATCAAGAATATTCACTAAGGAACAAGAATCTAGGCAGCTCCATGTTCCATTATGATAGTTCAATTTGTATTTTGCCCCCACCTTTAATTTGTTCTCATTTTGCATATTATTAAGCAATACATATTTTTATTACAACAATAACAATTATTACGGTTCAGTTCCAAACAAATTTAGATTGACTATATGATTTTTCATTGATATATTACCCATTTATCTTTGTTTGTATAGGTTTACTCACATTGTCAGTTCAAAATTCAAATAAAGGGGATGTGATAGACTGACAATTGACATAATAAAATTAGTTAATTCATGATAAATTCTTACTTATTTCGTTAACTAATTTTTATTATAAAAAGTCTATTAAAGAAAAGACTAATTGCACAATTAACGACTTGCCCCCGATATTTACTTCAAACCAATAGAATCATAGTAGCATATGTCTGTACATAGAATTATATCCCTCAATATTGATTAATGATTAATTAATATATATTTTTTTAATTTATTAAATTAATATAGTTAGTTGAATTACTTTGGTCTAAACACCAGAAATATTTACTCTAATTGCACTATTGTATTTCTATATATGGGAACATATTATTTTAAGTTGGTATGTGGGTGTATTTGTGTACCAATTAAGATAGGCACAAATATAATGAAGGGGATACCAGTTAAGAGATTACAGAGCAGCCGGTGAAATCGTGAATTGATTTCCCAAATTAGACCAACCGTTGAATCCCACCTACGCTTCCCACTTCTCTCTCTTTCCTTCGTTGGCCCCCCATTTCTGCATCTTCGCCATTTCTGAAAGAAACGGGGGATCACGACCATTTTATGGGAAGAACAAAATTCTCATCAACAACAAAAATAAGCAGCATTTGATTATCCCATTTATGGATCTCTGAAGAAAAAATAAATCTTCCCAATCTACCCTTTTCCTAATTCTTCAATATCAACATTTCGAGGTTACTCTTTTGGAACATTTTAGCTGTTTCTTCAAGATCAGGGAAAACAAATTACCTGGGGAGCAAAGGTTTTAAGGTCTTTCGATTTTCCAAACCCTAGATTCGAATTTGGGGAAAATAATTGGGGGATTTGGGTCCGGCCCAAATGGAAGGAAGCTTGGGAGGACTTAAATTTTGTTGAAGATTTGATTTTTCCCCATGTAATGTATGGATCGGACATTGTCGATTTGGGTCTTCTTCTGTTTCTTTGCTATTTCGGTGCAATCTCAGGGAAATGTAAATCCTCCCAATTCACAATCACCGCCGCCGCCACCATATTCTCCTCCGCCACCACCTCCACCGTCGCCGCCACCTCCACCATCACCTGTGCCTCCTCCCCCTCCACCTCCCCCTTTATCACCTCCCCCGCCGCCTCCACCATCGGCTCCTCCTCCACCTCCTCCGCCTACCCAAAGAGCTCCTCCTCCACATCACCACCAACACAAAAACCACCATAAATCTGACGTTAAAAGCCCGCCACCACCACCATCAAAAGAAAAGACGTTAAATTGGGGGAAGAGACTTGGGTTAATGTTTGTGGGCATTGCGGCGATCTTGCAAGTCTGTGTGGTGGCGTTTCTGATAATTAAGAGAAGGCAATTGTTGAAGGCTGATACTAGATTTTGAAAAGATACACATTTGTAATTTGAATTTGTTTATGGATTCCATTTCTTTGACTAATTATTTGTTAGCTTGGCGGAGCATGTTTTTATATATAGCTAGAGTGAGTTATACAGTTTGAGATTCTTTAAAACAACCAGCTTTGGCAAATGAATTATGGCAATCCATGGATTACAAAAGGATTCAGCGGAAGATTGGTGTCTGCATTTCTGTTTTCGCTCTTGTAAATTGGTAATTCTTGATTGGCATTAATTATTAGCAAAATATTTCCATTATTTTTCATTGTTCTTTTTGTTGGGATTTTGTCCATTTTTCTTCTGACATTTTATTGTGAATATTATGGTTTTGTTTATGACTGTGAATGATCTAGTGCTAATTGATGTTTCTTATCTTGTGCTTAGGCTGTTGCTTTTGGTGAACTTTTTATATAACGGGGAGCCTAAAGCTAGCTATGAAGAGATATGTTGTACATCTTTGCTTCCTTTTTGGTGAAATATTTTTTATATTTTGTCGTGAGAGTTCTGCAATTTAGCATAAATCTACTGAGATTATTGAAGTGCAATTGTCATTGAAGTAGAGTGTGAAAAGGGCCTTTCTTCACAACCTGTTTAAGTTTGAACTAGCTCAAGTTATGCATAGGAGCTAGGAATACTTTTTGTAAGCTCAAATGCCAAATCACATACTTCTTGCATCTTCTTGATGCCTAGTATTGAGATCACTTACTTTATCAATAAAAAGTTAGAACTAGCTCAAGTTTGAGTAATATGTGGATGAAGGGGCTAGAGTATAAAATGTTTAGGGTCCATCTAGTGTAACTTTGAGAAATATAGATGAAGGAGTTTATGTGAAGAAGAGTCGTTATTTGTTCTTGATTGCTCATATGTGAAAGAATCATTTTCAAGTTCTTAACCAGTATCATATTTTGGCTGCTTATCTTTGTTGCATGACTTAGAGTATCCAAATAGCCAGAAAATCCTGTTTTACTGCATATAAAAGGGGGTGAATTCGTTCCGAGAGTTCTTAAAACTTTTCTTAAAATCTTATGAAAGAGAGCCAACTTTATCAGTTCACTGGCATTAACTAGTTAGAAAGATGGGTAAAGTTGACCTTATAAAAAAAACCTAGTTATAAACTAGAACTTAGTTTGACATTGGCTGCTACTGAAATTTAAATTGCATTTGTTAATATTTTTTCTTGATAAACATTAATTGAGATATGAAGTTCTGTTTACCGGCAATTATATGGCTTGATTTCATTTGTTTTTAGTTGTGTTTGTCTACAAAATGCCGGATCTTGACTGTTAATTTTTCATATTGTAGGTCATAAATAAAAGTTTTTGCCTCCTTTGTCATATTTAAGGAACTGGCTTGGATTTGTTTTGAGGAACAATTTAAAATTCATATTCTTTGTCCGGTAAGAAATGGACCTTGTAGGGAAGCCAGGATACTGTTGTTAGAGGCATGACTTGTCACTGTCGAGCTGTAATATTGATTTGTAGATTGAACAAACAATTCATATATGGGTATAATATAATTCAAGTATTGTCTTTGATGTGAAAAAACTGAACAGGCGGAATTACTTGGGTTTCTACATAGAATTTATCACACTTGAACAGTTATGAGCCTCACTAAATAGAGGTTGTATTTTTTTTTTTTATTTATCTGAAATATGTTTCTTTTTTGCACTATCAAGATTGTTAAATCTTTTTGTCTTCTTAAGAAGTGAAAATGAGCTTTATACCGTCTTACATGTTTGCATATTTGAGTTTAATTTTATGGCATGTACTTCATTCTGGAGATGGATACTAGCCTAAATCAAGCTGTGACTTGTGTGTAATGCTGTGCTAAGATTCAAATTTGATATCTACATGGGAACTCCTTTTTTCTTCCTTTTCTGGGTTGACTTGGAATTCTATACATATTACTGTCTTTCAACAAAGTTGCGTTTTGGGCTTCAATTGTTGGCAAATTTCATGGGATGGAGTCTGTTGATTGGTGGCCCAATTACCTTTTGTTAAGTTATTATATTTGGATTGCCTCACCTTTAGAAGTCATTTTAGAGGACTGCGTTATTAGCCCAACCAGTTCCTCGTTGTAGATGCAGGGCTCTATAATCTCTATGCTGCAGTTTTATCTAGTTCCAAATGGAATGTCATCTTTGACTTCGGACAAGGATTTTTTTTTTTTTTTTTTTTTTTTTTTTA